AAATAGTAGGAAAACATGATAATATTTTCCTGGACTAATAGGAAAACAGAAATCGTTAAAAAAAAATTTAGAAAATGACACGCTAAATTGCTTCATGAACTTCCATCAATATCCTGCTTTGCATTCATGTGAATCACTTCTGAGCTCCTACAAAAGAATTAACTAAATATTAGGATAAAGCCCGTTCATATAAATATTATTACCAAAATCAAATACAACCTAAAAAATTAAAAAATCTAACATATGCTGTTATTTTTTTTTTCAGGTCTTCCAGAAACTTCATGAAGAATGACCTCATTAAGATTGAGTAGAAAAATGATCTTTTACTACGTGAATTCTAATTTTTTCTGGAAAACGGAATTGGATCTACAATAAATTGCATAAACATATTTTAGCAAAATAATAAAATATTAATCTTTCGCTTCATTCGAGTATTGAATAAAACTCACCAACTTAGATCAATCTAGGGGCATTCACAACACCCGTTTTTTCATATGCGTTTAAACGGCCCACGCGTTCATTCACAGTGACGGATTTAGGAATTTTATCGAGGGGATCCAATTAAAAATAACAAAAAAAAGCATCAACCGTATAAATAAATAAATCAGTACAAGTACTTACGATAACTTACAATATAATACATATATCCGAGTATTCGAGAAAAATAACTTCGATAACATTGAGAGATCACAATATTTCTCTTCTATTTTGCAATCCTCCTTAAAGATTTAAGGAGAAAAAATAAAAAAGGAATTACACAACAAATTCATCATTCAAATGCCCAATTAAAATATATGGACCTCGAAAAAAAGTATGTGAAAAAAATTAAAATATATGAGAAGTCCACTACATTGGACCTCCATCCTCAACAATCAACATAACGCATTAAATAACTAAAGAACAGAAAAACGAAGAAGAAGAAACACTAATTCAACATAAAAAAAAAACATTGTTCTATTAATTGAAAAAACTTGTAAACGGAAAAATCTGCACAAATTCTCTTAAAAAATGAAAAATTCAATCTTCTCTCTTTTCTCCAAAATAAATCGCGTTCACAACTTCCATTGATATCCTCAATTCAAAATAGAGATTGGTATAAAAAATACTTACAACGAGATGGTTTTTGGAAGCCGGATAGACGGACGGACGTACTACGGCCCGTACAGGATCGGGAGATAATATTTTTCTACCAGTTTTTCAAATCTCAAGAGTTTTGTTTTGTTTTTTTTTTTTTGTTTTTGTTTTTTTTTTTTTTAAATGGTCAAGCAAACAAAATGCAACTCAATGTCCACCATATTCAGAAATGCCACCAATCACCCAATCATCACACAAATCAGTCAACAGGTTGACAAGAAAAGGTTTTAAGCTCAAACGGGCCACTAGTGGAATAATAAATAGGACCAAAGAACGGTAGAAGTGAGCTATTCAAATAAAACGCCTCAATTACATTCGCAATTTCAAACTCTAATAGATTCCTTTCAAACAAACTCAAGGCAAGTTCTAATCATTCAAGAATATGACCAATATCTCACAAGAAAGAAGAGTAAGGATCAAAATCTCACAAGGTAAATAATATATGTCACTCAAAGCAATCAAGCAAATACCGAGGCAATGATCAACACAACCATCATCACAACTTCCCAATTTCATCAAACATTCATCAACAAATCCTATAATTCACCAATACCATGCTCAACAACACAAAAACCTAAAACTAGTCCGGCCCACCACATAAGCATGCAAAATCCAAATAGACTCCCCCACACTTAAAATGAGGCAATGACCTCATTGCTTCAACTCAAAACAGGAAGTCAAATAAAGGACCTAGCACTTTCATATAGTAAACCAATACTAGCAACTACCACAAGAACACAAGACTCAAAAGAGAGGACAGGAGGAGAACAACTCAAAAAGGATAAAAAGGAAAGGGTGTGCAAACCGAAAATGCCTCGTGGAGAATAAGCATCCACATACGAGCTACTCACCCATGCACCGCTCTGGACCTCGAAATTCGTCCTGCTCGTAAAGGAAACAATTTCCGAGGTGGATATGTACTGCTCGATTTGAGATATAAAAGCATAGACTTAGACCCAAGAAATTAAATTTGGTTAAATATATTTGTCAAGGGAAAACCCTAATCACAACAAATTAAGGAACATCTTATATCGTCCCTAAGATAATATAAGAGACAATTCAAACGAGTATAAGCGCAAATTATGACGTTGTTCAATGGCCATATTAAAAATAAAATTATATTTATAATATAAAATTTATACTTTTGTTTACATATCGAATTTTAAAATATAACATTCAAACATATATATGTATATTTGTTAGAACAATATTGCATAAAGGCATATAACAAAAGACATGGATCAAAACATAAAAATTAATTAATTAAGGATAGTATTCTTACACAGAGATGAAGATGGAGCATCTGAATGTAGAAGGTCCTCAAGTTGAGAATAAACGTAATTAATAAATGCCATGGACTCTTGCTGAGGTTCTTCTATTACTTCTTTAACCTTTTTTAGCAACGCACAATAAGCCTCCTGCTCATTTNAAGAGTTTAAAAGAACACATGATCAAAATACAAAACAACTTGCTATAAATATGTGGTTGTTAATTACCATAAATAAGTTAATATGAATATGTAAATCTTACCATAAATTGATCCAACTCGGACTGGTCGGCCGTGGATAAATTGGGACTATGATTAAGTTGTGGTGCTGAAATTGGGTTAAATATTACGTCCTCAATGTTCTCCATCTTCTCACCTAAGCACAGCTGCCAAAATTAAGTTGAAACCAATGAACATCAGTCATTTCTCATTTTTATGTGGCAAGTCAATGATAACCCAATTTTGACAAGCTTCCAAATTATTAATTTTTTAATTTAAAAATATAAAAACAATGATAATATTAGATATATAAAAATTGAAAGAAGAGAGAGAGAGAGAGAAAATACCTTCAAACAGTCCAAGTGAGAGTCAACCAAGTGCCCATACAAAGAATGGCAAGCAATTTCCCTCTTAAGTACACTTAAGTTGCCCTCATCATCTCCATTAACACTAACTCTTGAACTCTCAACCTTTTTCCCTTCTTCACAGCCCTCTAATTTCCCTTCCATTATTAATTTATATCTAAAACCACTAATTCAACTAACAATATTAATTTACTCACTCCCAAATCTTAGAGAATTCCCCCCAAAGGCCAACACAAATGTAACGCGCAGAAATGCACCCATATATATATATATAGCCTATAGATGGTACCAATAATAATAATAATAATAATGTAATAATAAATGACTAATAAAGTTTAATTAGTAGTATAATTAAGACATATTAATTGTAGTGTTTTTAATTTGATTGACAAATGCATGGCATGAGTTATTATATCAATCAGAAGAGGACAGTGGTGAGTGGGCTTTTTGCCTCTACCGTTTATGTACATATCTCCTTTAGACGCTCATGAAAGTAACAATTCACAAGTTCCTTGGAGACTGTACGCCCTAAATCCTTTCTCAAATCACTTCTTTTTGACTGTTCTATTTGGATTATTTACTTAGTTTTATTTCTTTAGTTTTCAGTGTTATCTTGTCACAAAATTTCATTCATTCATGTCCCTACTAGCTTGTTTATTATTGATGTTCACTGTGCATGTGTGTGAAGGTGTTGAATTTGGATCATGACACATAAATACAAAGATTAGTTAATACAATTTGATATATGTAACATATATATGTACCAAGATGACACTATTTTCCACATTATTATATTATTATTTTTAAAATATACGAAGAGTCAAAGCACCATTTTGGCTTAAGAACAAGAAGCTTGCATGGTTCAATCGATTCACATCGTCAATTGATCTCCAAGTTTGGACATGATACGAATTTATCATATCATAGTTAGCTGTTTTATTTAGTGGACAATTTTCTTTCATTTATTATTATTAGGTCGCTAGAAGACCGTGTATGTTAGGGCCCAAATATTTATTAGCATGTTGATGACCCGTTTATATTATTATAAATAATATTTTAACATATATATTTATTTTTTAATACAAAATAATAATAATTTTACATATTTTGGTTCATCATAATACCCAATTATTAATCTATCAAAAAATCTATTATCATATAATGTCATTATTATTTATAACACTTGTAGAAGTAATATATTTGTTATATAATGATAAATATGTAATATATTATTTATTGATGTAATTAATTTAAAAAGATATAAGCATATTTAATGTTTGGTAGGAATGTGATTATATGTAAGTTGAGATAAAATTAAATGTATCAAAAAAATCTGCTTATGATATTTTCCTTTAAATGTTTGAATGAATTTGAAATTCAAATTACAAATCAACCTCCAGTTATTCAAATAATTTTAAAAAAGTTACCAATTATAGTAAAATGTACGTGACAATATATTATAAATATACATGACGTCAGTAATGTTATGAATCTTTAGGTTCCTAATATATATATTGTTTAGATATAAAACTAATTAACTTATATGTTAAGATAATATATATAAATATATGTATTGTACGAAATATACACGTGACAAGTTATTATATTTGTTTATATATTGTTTGTATATTTGTTTGTATTGTTTATGATATTTGTTTATTATATTTGTATATAAATATATTGTTTATATATTTGTCTAGGTATTGTACGAAAAATTATAATATTTGTTTATATATTGGTTAGATATGAAACTAATTAACCTATATGTTAAGATAATATATATAAATATATGTATTGTATCCCTAAAAAATTCAAAATACATTTACGCATGTTTTGTTTGAAGTTTGAAATTTAAATATGCATTTATATAACAAATCCCATGATTTATGCTTAGCATTAAATGCTACTTTTTTTTATTAAAAAAATAAAAAAAATACTAAAAATGGAATGCAATTAATATTCCCTATTTTTTTGGTTACTATTTTTGAAAAACGTTAATTCTTATTATATATATATATCGATAAGTCAAAACAATTTTTTTTTTGTTCTTCTTTAATTGGGTTAAAAATAGCTATCAATTCTTATTTGAAACGTGGGTATTTTACGATGAGTACGCTCAAAATTGTTAGAACACTAAAAACTAATTAAAATAGATGAAACAATAAAATCAGAGATTTAAACTCTTCGGGAGAGCGTCCCACTTTCCCTCAGACATCTTTCATTGATAAATCGTTCGTGAACTCCCTTCTAGCCTAGCCACAACTACACACGATTCTATCAATTACTTCTCCGGCCACCTCCCGTGGACTTTCTTACACTTGAATCCCTCGAGCAAAACTGACACTTAATCCCTAAGTGCTGATCAAGATAATGTTTGAATAAAACAAAGAAAAGAAAACAAAACAACTTCAGTTCTTCGATGACGTAAGAACACGGAAAACTGAACAGCAACTAAAACTGAAAAGAAACTTGAAGCTCAAATAATATGAGAATGATAATAATGTCAGCAGCCAGCTTCGATCTCCAAGTAGGGTATTTATACAACTCTTTAGGCATGGAGTTTTCTCCAAGTTCTTTCCTTTTTCACGATTTCCTTGATCTTCTTTCCAAAAATAATATAAGAACATGGAAAGTGAATCTTCTTTTGATCTCTCCTCAAACCGTGCGCATGTCCCTTTCCATCCGGCATTCCACAACGCAATCCTACAAGATATTAACTATAATAAGATCATGCAAATGTAATATACAAATACATAATCCGAAAATATAAATAAAAGAACTTCCCTTTTATATCTCATGCTTGCAAGAACATATCTTCACTTATATTAATTTTTTTAACTTCATTGCCAAAAATATAACTCTTTCAATATTCAAGGAGCTTCACACGTTTTGGATGTCCTAATAAGTTATGAGCAACTCATTTTCATATTTTTGCATTATTAATCGCCTATATGTAGATAGTGTGTTCCATAATCATATTCATATGGAACACTTTTCGCCAATGAAAATTCAGATTTTTCCTTTCACATTGTGAGTGAATTTTAAGACTACGAGAATATATTTCTTGTTACCATTTATCGACTTATCAAGCAAACAATCATCATTGCTTGTTTCTCTAACAACGGGCAGGTACTTCCATAATTCGAGATTTAATATATTGTTGTTGGGCATGTTGGAGTTTGCTCACATTCATGGAGGATAATTGAGAGACACACTGGACTGTTTCTCTCTCTATCTCCAATTTTCCCCAAATTCTCTCTCAGAAAACCTCTACAACCCATACCGGTGGAGCAATGAGAAGAAGATAAAGCTCGAACAGAAACTTGAGAGAGACAGAGAGAGAGAGAGAGAGAGAGCAGTGCGTGAATATGCACTTAGGAATAATCTGATCTCATCTGTGAGCTTAATGATGTATATACAGAGCTACAATAGAGATCCTAAGGAGAACAGGATTAGGGTTTCTTAAGTAATAAACTAACTGTAGGCCAAACCCACTTCTCCAACTACTTAAATAATATTACGATCCACTAAAGTAATATTATTGCACTCCCTTTTCCTATCCCAAATTACATTTAAGACTCCAATAATAATTATCCGAATTACCTCTCCATGTTTAAGATATAATGTCCATTAATTAATTTGATTACTGATAATCAAGAATTAATTAATATATTATATTACCAAAGCTAGCCTCATTCATTGTATTATTATTATGTCGGAACTTGATCCACTTGCAGGGTTTAGCATAAAAATTCTTCATGAATTCACTTCGGGGCCATCATCAAAGTAACGCACATGATGACCGTAAATATCCTAACAGCACATCATACATACAAGAATATTACCCAAGACAGTAAGACTATTGATCCAACGAACTGAATCTCACCCAAGTGAATTAAAGTAATAAATGCTGCATCAATAATGAACTAAATATGCATCACGAATTAACTAAATATGCATCATTAATTAACTAAATATGCACCATGGAATAATTTAATATGCATCATAAATTTACTAAATATGCATCATTATATATTTAATTTAAATATTACAAATACGCACTATGGATGAACTAAATATGCATCACGAATTAACTAAATATGCATCATTATATATTTAATTTAAATATTACAAATATGCACTATGGATGAACTAAATATGTATCATGTATTAACTAAATATGCATCATGTATATATTTAATTTAAGTATTATAATTATGCATTTTATATTAAGTAAATATTATAAACATGCATTTTGTATCTTGAAACTAAATATGCTTTTTGTATGACTTAAATATGCACAAGAAATAAACTAAATATGAATATATTAAATAGTAAAAAAGGTAGGGGCTAAATTGAAGTTATTCACACTTTAAATTAATTACATATTGACCTCAAGAATAAAATTGCACTATCTCATAATTGCCTAAAATTGCAACTAAATCCCTTAAATTTATCTAATTTTCCGAAAGGGGCCCAATCTCAAATCTCAAATCAGATCGCACGCCAATCTCAAATCCCAAATCAGATCGTACGACCTCCGGCAATCCTAATTTCCTCCGCCCACCCTCTCCTTCTCAGCCGAATTCGTCGATTTTCTCCCTCCGCCCATCCTCCCACCCTTGCGCATCCTCTCATGTGGCGTCATCGAACTCTCTGCCACCGGCTGACTGCGGGAATTCGATTCTTCCCTCGCCGGCGAAATCGAAAATACAGAGCTATTCTCCACCCGATGAAGATGAGATCTTCGACGTCCTCTCCACCCGTCTCCGGGAGCTTGCAGTTGAGGTGGTTTCCAAAAGGGGAGATGAATGCGGATTTTTTTTTGTTTGGGAGATGAACATACCTGCTCGTCGGATCTGTTTGTGGAGCAGCAGCGGCGGCGGGAGGCAGCCGCAGATGGCGACGGCACTCCGAGGACGACGCGGGAGAGTGGTGGCGAGCTGTCCTGTTCTCGTAGGTTTCAGATGGTCGCACCGTCGCCGGTTTTTTTAAACTCGCCAGTCACAGGCCGTCAGCCAGCGGCAGCTGAGGCCGTCCTACCAGAAAACGGGGACGGACGGCCGTCGGAAGTAGGCGGGGGCTGGAATCGCCGGAGGCCAGTCAAAATCTGAGATTTTTGGCGAGCTGTTGACCGGTCAACGGCCGCCGGCCGGTGGTCAACGATGGTGAACTCTCGGCTGTCGGTGGTAGAAGACCGGTCAACGGATTATAATTATTATTTAAATAATTTT